AGACATTTCTAGGACTGGGGAGCCCTGGAAGTTCAGGAGTGTTCAAAGTGCACTGGAGACCTTACTTTGTTTGTTAAGAGCTTGTTTTGACTCCAGAGAGCATTTCTGCTTCCTGCAGTCTTTCAAGAACCAGATCCCATCCTTAAACACAGCTACCCTCTTGCTTCTTTGTACATGATCATCCGTAGAGAGTCAGCGAGTGACCTTTGTACAAAACGGGCTGCAAATAGCCTTCCTGCACATTCCAGACTCCCACTGATCCCAGACGCAACCCACAGCATGTTCAGAACTGCTGGAGATGGGTGAAGCTGTGAGATCTCACCCAGAACTCACCAGATCGCAACCTTCTAGAAGGGGATTTCCTGAGCCAGCATGCACTTACCCTCTGGGGGGAAGAGAAAATGATGCACACTGAGGGCCGGTCCCTGGAAACTACTAGTGTTCCCATGTTGTGTGAAAGGTCGAAAATTTGCCTTAAAAAAAATGCAACCCAGAGTTGAGGCCAGAATGAATGCTGCCAGCAAGACTGAATTAGGCAATGGGAAAGACGGTGTTTGGTGCCAGGGCTGAGGCAGGAAGCCATTCATTATCCTCTAAGTTAATCTCTTTGTTTACATTGTTCCCTTCCCGCCTCCATACTGCTCCAAAGAAGCTCTGTTTGTTACGTTATGCTTTATGTGATGTTCTATTTGTTTCAATCCTCGGTCAAGGGCCAGGAATGGTGACACAGGCCTTTTCGTCTCAGCACTGAGGGAGACAGAGGCAGTCGGATCTCTGTGAGTTAAAGGCCAGCCTAGTCTACAATTCCAGGACAGTCAGAGTTGCATAGAAAGCACCTGTCTCAAACAAACAAGCTCAGTCCTTGGCCAGTGGCATTAGGTCTCATTGAGGTTTAGCTTAAGAAGTCCCATGGCTGAAACTTCTTCTCTGAGTCACAGCAGACTTGGAATGAAGAGCAAGATCACCTGACGTCCCCAACTGGGATGCACCTGCTCATTCCATGGGGCTGCCCTGTGTGTGTTGTGGTCAGTGGGGGAGGGGGGATCTCTTTTCTGATTTTGGCCTTCTTACATTTGTATCCCCAGCTCTTAGCACCATGTTTAATGAGCACTCAATACAGTAATGCTAGGACAAGTGATACGTGATCTTCAAGGTGATGGTGGGGGGCTGTGGGGGCGGGGCAATGGGAGAAGGAAGACTAGTGTTCTAGACTTCCTGAGTCAAAGTCATACAACGTTGATCAGAGATAAGGGATACCCTGTCTTCTTGTCACCACATCTCAGAACTTTTCGCCCTGTCAGGTACCCATTTCATCCATTCCTAACACACAGAATCAAGAGGGATAAGTGGACCTGGGAGTTCTGTACCTGGAGAACCAGGTGTACCCATTTTGATTCTTCCATGTGGCTCCCAGGGCCCTAGCTCCCCACTGAGGGGACACATGATGCTCTTTCCATGGGTCATTTCCTTCTCTCACTCATGATCCTAATGGTTCGTTCTCTGGTTTCTATGCCTTGTACCATTACTGGGTATGGATAGCTCCACCCCTTTGCATTATCTGCCAGATCCTTACCAGAGAGAGGGGAGAGGGAGAGGAAGGGGGAGAGAGAGAGAGAGAGAGAGAGAGAGAGAGAGAGAGAGAGAGAGAGCTCCAGAGTCATTGTTTACAGGCCAACTAGGGTCATGGCCACAATATGAAACCTGCCTTCTTCTGGACAAGGACTGTCTGGAGGCTCTCAGAGCCCTGTCCTCCTAGAATCCAGGGATCTGCAGCATAGCACACACCCCTGGGAAGAAAATGGACCATCTCGTGTGAAATATGGGCGTCCCACCTGACATACATAATTTTCTGCCTTTACATAACAGAAACAAACATCTGTTCTCGGGGGTCAAACAAAAATAAAACCAGGGTTTTTGTTTGTTTGCTTTTTGTTGTTTTTGACAGCCTTATTTCAAGGGTTCATTGTCTCCCAGGCCGCTAACTAGACACTCTGTACCACACTCGCTAAACAGTTCCTATAACTGCCTTTGAAATTCCCAGCCATCTCTTGTGCTTTCCAAGTCATTTGAGAAGCTGGCATGGTGTGGAGGCTGTAAACTTCGCACACTGGCGATTAGTCAATGGGACCGTATCCCACCCAGTCCCCCAGTGCTCATAACAAAACGCTCCTTGTGACCCAAGTGGCAGTTTTCCTTTCTCCTCTGTTCACTCACTCCATTCAGCTGCTCCATAGCAAGCAGTTTGATTCCCATCAATGCCTGCAATTTGCTGGAGCCTGCCAAGGGGACCTAAGTAGAGGCCGATATCATGCAGGAAGGTCTGAGGTCCCTTAAAACACTTTAAACAATAACCTATTGTGATAGTGGTCCCAGTCCTATGTGTGGCAGGTTTGCCTGCACCATGGAGCCTGAAATACTTCGCTTATTTGCTATTAAAATTTTGAGGTGAGAACAGCTTTTATCACTGAAGAAGCTTCGGACCAGGGACATTGGGGCCAAGTTTATTGTAGGAGATTTCCAGGCAAGGATGTGGGAAGTAAATGGATTAGGTGGTATTGGGAGGAAAAGAGGTGGGGAAGGGCTCACGGACCATTCTGCTCCAGGTAAGAGTCATTCCTAACCAGTTAGGGACCTTTGCCACTAGAAGGGATAAGGAGAGGGTGAGAGCAGGTGTCTGGGAGGGTGGAGAAGTCCCACTGTGCCACTTTGGGCCTGGAATAATTGTATGATAGCTGAATAATTCATATGAGTGAGAACCAGGCTAGATGTCCGGAAGGCACAAAGCATTATTACTGCATAGTTTCTGCAGCATTAGATGAAGAGGCTGTTTAACTGATATCACACATTGTTGGGGCCAAACATGCCACATACCACCAGAGCTCTGGGCTCCCGGAGGAATGAAGCCCAGAAGATTCGTCCTGTCCACCCGCTCTCCTCCCAGTTTCTTCCTGTTCTCACCTTGTATCTCCCAGCCCTGCTGCACATATTCCCCTCCAGGCACCAGATCCTAGTAGAATAGCAGTTAACATAAGCTGGGGCAGATTGTGGGGTTAGAGACAGATTCCTAGTTAGTGCTCCCCAGACTCCAAAAAGGAAGCTGTGTCCAAACTCATGTGGGAGGAAAGGAGTCTTGGATTGGAAGTTCTAAGACCCAGATTTCTGACTGGGAGAATGAGGGGCTTTTTTCCCCCACATCCTTGGATGCTTTCTGATGATCAAGTCACCTGACCCATCGTACGCATCATTTTGCACTTTGAGAATGTGCTTTTCCCATGAGCATCTCATCTGCTGTCGCATCTCCTCCTCATCCCAAGATGGGAGGTAGAGGGACCACACAGAAGCACCACAGGTAGAGAGCGAGCAGAGCAGGGAGCTGTGAGTCCAAGGTCATGTGTTCTCGGGTGGGGTTGAACTAGGGTTGAACTAGGCCGTCATTTCCTTTGCTCTTAGTTAGGTTTCCATTGCGGTAACAAGCTCCGTGACCAAAAGCAACGTAGGAAGAAAAAAGTTTGTTCTCAGCCTGCAGCTCTTATACCACCCTCCATCGCTAAAGGAAGTCAGGGAGGAACTTTAGACGCTAAGCTGGAGCCAGGAACAGAGGCAGAAGTTGTGGAGGATCACTACTTACTACTCCGCTCCTTTTTTCTTCCTCAGTTTGCTTTCTTATACAACTCCGGAGCACCTGACTAGGGCTGGTGCCACCATAGTGGGCTGGGCCCTTCCACAGCATTCATAATCAAGAAAATAATGGACAGACACATCTGCAGACGTGTCTAAAAGGCCACTCTTATGGAGGCATTTGCTCAGTTGGGAGTTCCTTTTCCTAAATAAAGACAAGTTGACACAAACTAACACAGGTTCCTTGGAATCCTCAGAGGCAGAGACATTCTAACTTACACTCCAACAGCAGCTGGTGCCCAGCCGTATAAGCTGGAAAATGCCGTCCCCTCCATCCCTTTCTCCTAGATGTTTCAACTTTCCTATCATAAGTTTAAAAAATGGTAAGTTAATTTATCACTAAGATCTCTCCTAACTGCAGAATATAACAAATATACATACATGCATGCATGCACACATACCTACAGAGAGACACAGAGAAAAATAATAAGACTAAACCTCAAAGAATTAAAACTCATGGACCTGTATCCCAGGCCTTGGAATTATATTTGGCCACGTGAGAGATGGGTCCTGGCCTCCGGTCTTCAAATAACCCTCCAGGAAGATTTTAAATGCAGCAAGTGTCCTAGCTGAGAAATCCATCCCAACTTCAGAATTAGATCCTTTCACACGGCCGTGAAAATGAGGAAGTGCTAAGCAGGCTTGTCACGCGATTTCTCCTCCTTATGGAAGTTGGACTGTGATGACATGGTTTGAGAACATGGCTAGAAATCAGCAATTTCGGATGTAATGAAACAATTTGCCTTGTTTTGCTCTGTTTTGTTTTGAATCTCAGACTGACACACCAACCACATCCAAATGCAAACAGCTTGCAGCTTAATTGATAGGTCACCACCAGCCTTAGTCGTTCCCTGGAGCCAGAAGGAGAGCAATGCTGGTTGGCCACTTTCCTCTGGGGCCTATAGCCCCTGGCTGCAAGCAGAGCTGACCCCGCTTCTCCACGCTGAGGGTCTGAGATTCAAAACAAATGGGGTAGACGGGGACAGAGGACAGCGAAGGCAGGAGGTCACAGAGGAGGTCAAACCAATAACCCAAGCCAAGAAGGAGTTTGTTCTCACAAGCCAGGCTGAATTTATGGAGAGCAAACCACTGGGCAGCCAGTGTCCTGTCCTCCCAGACACAAACATAGGACAGCATCTTATGATCCTCAGGCAAGTGCTTCCTGTTGTCTGTGAAGTCTGGTCATACTCAAGAGCACGTGCCAAAAGTGACAAATCTTACCTACGACTGAAGTTCAAGGTCAAGTGCTAGGCAAGGACTTAAGTCACGTCCCTACAACTCCCTCTCACAGAGTCTGCAACCCAGATACGCAAATGACTCACCGCTACTTAGAAAAACCCTCTTCTTCTCTTTCCTGTATTTGCTCCTGTTTTTCCCTCTCTTTCTGTGTCTGCAGGGCTCCGACAAGAACTGCAAAGCCTATCTCAAATACCACCTTCGCCAACCTCCCCTTATCACAGTGGTAGTGTTCCCACAGGGAGCCATCAGAATGTATTACTCACATCTATCATTTGACATTTTTCTTACCATAGTGTCTCTTATCCAGTCTATTGTGAGCACACGGAAGATAGAGCCTGGGTCTTTCGTTTCTCATTAGCCCAAGCATGTTTCGGCATTCTGCTTTGTTTGGAGGAAGTACCCAGTAAATGTGAGAGAATGGGACTTGTCTAGGGCTGAGAGTAATTGTGAGACATTACAACCCTCTCTACCTATGTTGGACAGTCCTTGGTACACTTCTTCTCTTCTGCCACCCAACAATGAATGAGCAGAGCCGGGGCCTAGAGGCCTTCCTGTGAAAAATGACCTCTCTGTGGGTTTGAAAGACACTTGAGTCTGTGTTGCAATTGGGAGTACTCTTTAGGGATTCCACTAGAAACAACACTTGGGAGAAGACACATGACTCACATTTTATAGTATGTGAGTAAATAAATTCATTAATACAATTATTGTTACCACATAACACATTATTTCTCATCTTTAGGAGAGGGAGATTTTGTGTTTATGAATCTTGTATCCTTAAGAACAGTGAATTGGGTTGAAAAAAATATTCATTCACATAATAGTAGAAAGGTCTTAAGTCTTAGTGAAGGAAGGACCTCATTTTGAAGAATGGTTTTGTTACTTCATGACCAGCCATATGTTGGTTAATTTTATATGTCACTGAACTATGTCTCAGGGTGACCAGGTATTTGGTCAAATGTTGCCCTGGATATTTCAGTAAGAATGATTGTGGGTGAAATCTAACATTTTAAATGGGTTGACTCGGAAAAGCAGATGCCCTCCCATTATGATGGGTTGCCAACTTGACAGATCTAGAATCCCCTAGAAGATCACCCTCTGGATTTGTCTGCGAGCCATCAAGGCGGAGGGGTCCTGGGGGCAGGAGACTGAGGCAGCTGGTCACACTGCCACACTGCATCTGTAGTTCAGAAGCAGAGACGGGTGAATGCTGGCGCTGGATGTGTTATCTCCTTCTTATTCAGTCTAAACCCCAGCTCAGAGAACGTTATAACTCACAGTTAGTGTGGGTCTTTCTACCTTAATTAAGCCCAACCTAAAAACTCCCTTACAGACAACTTCTTGGCAGAACACTAATACAGACACTTTGGGCAGGTTATTGAGTCTCTCTATATCCCAACTCCCTCTTTCCTGTGATAAAATCAGGCTCTAATACCTACCGCTGTGACACAAACCGTGCAAATTCTTGTCATGTTTCTTGTCTCAAAGTAGGTACTCAATGTCCACCAACCCCTTCTCTCCTGCTCCTGTCTTTCCATAAAACACACTTGTATACAAAGATTTTTGCAGCCTTATTCTCTGAACCCAACATAGAAGGAACATGGTATAGCATGCTCATAGAAATAATCAATTCAATATTTAAAATTATGGCTGTATCAGGAAATCCAAGATGTCTGCCCGTGGTGTCATCTGAACTGAACCAAACAAAAATAACCGAACAACCTACTAAGCACTTTACAATAATTTTTGCTAAGTGTCGCCCTTCACACAACGACTAGATCTCTACTGTGGTTTGGATCATAGATACAGAGATGGTAGGGCATGCAGATCTCTGTTGCTAGGCTGGGCTATGGGGGGATCTTTTCTTAGTCTTCTCACCCCAAACTTGCCCACCCCCATAGCTTAGAAGGAGGGGTCATGCGACATCCTTCCATTGCTGACTGCTCTGTCACAGGGTCCCACTTCCTGTGAGTCCTTCTAACTGACACCTTCCTTCCAGTGATGCCTTGGGAGAACTCGAGTGAATTAACACCCGGTTACAAGTGGGTCCTGCTATTTGTCTATAGCCAGAGACTCAAATGAAGAAAAACAATTGACCTTAGACTGGCATTGGGTATTTCCAGTAGCTGGAAATTCCCAGCCCTGGAATAGTCTCAGTCTAGTATTTTATGGGGCTGACAGCGGAAGCTCAACCAGGCCGAAAAGACCAGAGGGGAGTTGAGAGCAGGCTGCTACTGAGTGACTGACCTTGTCTCAGGCTTTGTGTGGTGCTTGATGTTACTGATGATGAAGTGGGCTTTTTCCTCTGGAGCCTCAATAAAATCGAGAGACATATTGTCCAATCACTGTCCCTGTGAGGAAGATCAACTGTGGCTCCTTTTCCAAAATCCCCATGCAAAGAGCTGACCTCAGGGTTCTGAAGGAGACTTCCTGTGGGCACGTGGAAAGAGGCTAACTTGGTTTTGACTGAGGCCTGGACTTTTAAAAACGGAATTCTCTGAATAGGGCTTTGACAACTGTTAGCAAAAGCCCCTTTAACACATAGCCACAAAAGTAGCAACTGTGTGGTGGCTGCAGAGTGTGACCCCATCCTGTCTGATAGATCTATAATTACCCTGGGCATTACATGCCACACAGCAAAATAAACTTGAGGCCTTGCCTCTGGAGAGGTTGGTGCACTTCAGCGGACCAGGGTAGGCCTGAGAGAGAATAGCTGTGGTGTACGCTCTATTCCAACAGCCTGTTCCCTCTCCTTGACCTATCCTTTGTGGGAAGCCAAGAATGCTAAATATTTCTTGTAGTTCTGCCCAGGCCTTTATTTACACCCTCCTCTCTCCCCAGCCCCAGCCCTGTGTCTTCCTGTGACAACCAGGCTCTCTCCCCTGGGCTGTGGAGACGGCGTTTTTCTGTTGGAGATGATACATCACAGGTATTGCAAATGAAGAAAGATGCAAGAACGAAATGATGGTTGCTGGACAGGCAGCCAGACTCTGGCAAAGATAACATGCGCGTTCCATGTAGCAGGCTTTATATTGATAAACTATCAAAATTTCCAGGCTGGGGAGAGTAACTTTTTCTTTTGTGCAAGGGGACATGGAGAACTCCGGTCTTTGCAGACAGAATGAAGACGAGGCAGAAGGCTGCCATCAGCCACTTGGAATGTTTGTTTTGTGAAGGACAAAATTAAACCCTCACAGCAGGTCTTTCATTTTTTGGTTTCTTTTCTAATTCGAGAATCTTCTCTAACCACATTGGGAAGGCAGGAGGGAATGTGACTTCTTCTGTAGCAATTGCTACACATTCATAAGGACATTTTCTTCAACAACAGTTTTGTCCCAAAATACACCCTTGAAGTCATTTCCAGGCAGTGCAACCCTGGAGGTGGAGTCTCCCAAACTCTTATGCCTCAAGTGTGCAATTGGCAGCAAAGCTACTTTAGAGAAGTTACATTGTCCTACTGGGTTGGCCATGTGCCCTGGTTTCTGTAGGCAAACTCATGTATGCCAGCTGACCTGCTATGATTTCTGCCTATGCCTTCTTGGGTAAGGTCTAGCTTGGATCATGGATCCTATATCACCCTGCCTCTCACTGAACCCAAAATTTCTGATGCCTATTTTGAATACTGTGTACAACTGTCTGGCAGTGACCCTAGCTCTCTTCAGGATAATGGGTGACACGTGAGAATGGCTAGGTGACACATTTGTCTTAGAGGCCATCATGCTGTTGGTCATTTCTAAACCATTTAGTCTGTTCTAAACTTTGACCTTAAATACCATGTTGTTGGCATTAGTGTAGAAGGCAAAGCAAACCTCTGGCTTTCTGCTCTGCCTTGAGCACACAGGTTCACTGATTCCTCTTCTCCACGTTTATTTTCAGGGCAGACGGTGACACTGTCCACTAAGGCAGGACAACCTCAGCCCCATTTCTCTCCCTTACCAAGGCTCCTGCAGAAAGGACAGCAGCACTACCCAACCAGGCCTATAGCAACAAATGTCAAAATTGTGTCAGGGTTAGCCTTGGCTTTGCTGTTTACTGAATCCATAGCCCGCCTGCAATGCCGTGTGAATGAACGCACAGGTCATCAAAGAAACACTGGGTATGGGGGAGAAAGGACAGAGAAGAAATCAGCTCAGGACTACATCCTAGATGCTGTGCTCAGGCATTTCCCTAAAGAGTTGCCTACTGAATACCTGGAAAGTTGCATTGGCAATAGAGACTTTTGTCCTTTATTTGTTTGTTTGTTTGTTTGTTTATTGTTTATTTAATAACTAGAGTTAGCTCAGGCTAACCCTAACCTCACAATTCTATTCCTTCAGCCTTCTGGGGGCTCAGCTGATAGCAGTGCACTACCACGCTGCTCATTCAGTCTTAGCAAGTGTTAACATATCGGAGAGTTTTCTTTGTCTTTAACACAAATTCATAACAGCATATCTATTCATTTTCAGGATTCTTTCTTCTTGAAAATCTAACATTTTGATATATTTACTTTTACTCTTGGGGAAGTTGACTTATTTGCTGATTTGAGTAATTTAAATTATTTTTAATTATTTCAAATGGATTAAACAGTGATCTGCGAGATTATAAAATGTCCTGTTAAGCCTCTAAGGCAATCAGGACAGTGATGGACACTGCAGATAAAGGATGTACTATAGGTTTGACTGCTAAGTCAAATGTGGGGCGACATTGCTCAAAAGGAGAGACAGTTTTGGTGAAACTTACAGACAAAAAGGAGTACTAAGTGGTTATTAACGGCCGAACTTAACCACTTTAACTCTCACGCACTGTGATAAATATGAGAATAGATGAGAGCTCCTAGGGTTAGAAACCTCATGTGTGTTAGTGTGTGTGTCTCGCCTGTTGCACCCCTGCACTAACCGGCTAGGAAACTAATAGGAGAATATCTAGAATTGGAAAACGTGTCTCTGTGCTTTAAAAATATGCCTGCCTTTTGAAATCTGTTTTGCAGAAGCTGTTGATGAACAGAGATGGTGAACACATTGAAAGACTGAGCAGAATAGGAAATGCCGAAGTCTAGCTCAAATAGCAAATACACATTAAGCAGGTAATCGAAAGCCAGGATTTTAGCAGTTCTGAAGAAGACCGTGTTTGTTCAGGGAGCAGCATTTG